GTTGGTTGGTTGTCGTTCTTGTTATTGTTCTTGTTATTGCTGTTGTTGTTGTTGTTGTCGTCGTCGGCGTGGTCGTTGTCGTTGTCGTTGTCGTTGTTGTTGTTGTTGTTGGTGGTGGTGGTGGTTGTGGTGGTGGCGGTTACAGTTGTTGTTGGTGTTGGTGTTGTCCGTTGTCTGTTGTTGTTGTTGTTGTTGGGTGGTGGTGGTTAATTGTTTCTTGTTGTTTCTTCTTGTTGTTACTGCTTTTGTTGCTGTTGCTGTTGCCGTTGCTGTTGTTGTTGTTGTTGCAGAGGGAGTAGTCGCGAAAATGGCAGTCACTAGTCATTAGTCGTCTTTGACTTCATCGTGGGCGTCGTAGCGAAGCGTAGTGCCTCTACGAAAGGAACAATTGCATGGTTGAGAAACTCAGTCAATGTGCAAGTAGAACAGGTACAGCGTGGTAGTGCCGATGTCAGGTCCTGGGAGCGATTCAAGATTAGCTGGCTCTGGCCACTGCTGCACACGGGCGTGCGCCATGCTCTGCAGGTGGATGCAGCTTTTGAGTTCTGCTCTTTGCCTTTGGTGTTTCCAAGGAAGCCTGATATCCGTGGCTCACATGTCGCTGTCATGTCACAGTGACAATCCCGTCCCACGAATCCGTGCCTGCCTTGTGCGAGTGTGCGAGCCGAAACCCGAAAAACCCTGAAGACCCTAGAAAGCCTAAGCCAGGAGCAGGATGTGTGGCCGGTGCCTGAGAAGCTCCGTGCGGAGCGGGTGGGCAACCGAGCGGCCGAGCTTTGGTGGGAGGCCTGGCAGGGAAGAACTGATATTTTATCGGGGACGGTAAGTCTGGGGGCAGAGGGGGGTGGGTATCAAGATAGATACGTAAGTAAGTAAATATAAATATACAACATATATATATATATATATTTATATTTATGTATTTATTTCTACACATAAAAGAGAAGAAGCAGGTCTGTGGATTCATAAAATGTATGTCATTGTACGTCTATTTCCCTGATTTTGGTATGTCGTGTTTTTCGGGCCTTTTCAGGTTTGGGGTGGTCGGGTTTAGGATGTTAGGGGGGGCGATCTCCAGTCTGGTCGTGGTAGTTCGTGGAAGGCTGTGGATGTCACGGAGTTAGGCCGCTACCGTTGATATTGCCTAATAACTACTCATGATCCTTCCTGTTGGGAAGTGTGCCGGGGGGGTATCTGGGCTGTTGTGTTTCAGTAGTGGTAGAAGTACAGCAATGCCCCAAACACACAGAACTAAACCCTGCTAGCCGCAACCCTAAACCCGAACCCTAGTCATTTCAGGAGCGGAAGACTCTTGTACACTGTATGGTAGTATTTATTCTACAGGAGTGCGACAGCGCGTCCAGCCGGCAGCGCCCTCCACGCCTGGCACGAACGCTCCTGCGCCTTGCAGCGCGGCCCACGGCACAGAGACTCGATGCGATTGGTCTTCCCGTTTTGAACAGCCAGCACTCATCTTTGATAGCTACGCGAAAAAACGGAATCGACAAAATCAGCAGCGCATAGCAGTGCTTCTGTGGGATGCCGAGGCGGTAGATGGTTAACCCAAAGTAGTAGCAGATTCGGGTTGACTGACACCTGGCCGGAATCATAGGACCAAAGATCTCTGGCTGTATCTACCCAACGAACATATTGCAAAGGTCTTTCGTGCGTAGCTAGCTTTGAAGTGATTTCAGCCGGTTTTGGCTTCTAGGTGTCCATACATTGCCCTCAGCCGGTGGTCAAACGTTTCGTGATCTCAGGTGGCTGTTCTGCAGTCTCTGTTGCAACTTGACGGCAGCCGGCTCGCCTTTCGAACCTCAGCCGTTAGTATACACTGCGAAGGATCGTGGTGACATTTGATACTGAGTTGGCTGTTTTTGGTTCCCTAAATCGTATAGGCCCTAAGCCGTTAAATGCTGCCCCATGAACCTCTCTCTTGGTAGACTTCCTCGTCTGTTGACGGAAAATCGGTGTATCAACAATATCTTAAACCCTAGAAACCCTAAACCGAGGCGTGTGCTTCTATGTGCCGGTCTCAGCTCTGTTCCCGAATTGCAGCTCTGCACCCCTGGCAGCCTCCACTGCGGTTCAATTATGTCAGCTGAAGCATGGGCTGGTAGTTGTGACACGACATTACACTGCGTACCGGTACATAACATTACATGCCAATGCACACCATGGCCGACCATAATTTACCAGTGCATACCATTGCATACCATGGCCTAGCATCGTATACCGTTGCATACCCTCGCATACACATACATACCTGTACTCACAAATACATACACATGCAGTACATGTACATACATGTAGGCACACATTCGGGCATACATGCATGCACACGAACAGACATACAGACAGACAGACAGACAGACAGACATGCAGACATACCAACATACACACATACAAACTAATATACATACATACATATGTACGTACATACATAGATACGCTAGAGACGCAACAGACACACACACACACACTCTCGCAAACACACCGATACATACACACAGATAGCGAAACATAGACTCACGCATAGGCATTGGCATTTACATAGACATGTACATATATACACACGCACACACGAGACAACGTTAGATATCGATGCTGAAGGTGCTTGTGCCCATCTTCCTTCGCCGCATGCTCCGCGAGCTTGAGCAGGCTTTCACAGATCAATGTCCTGGGGCCCGAGACCTCGGGTAATAGGTTGGGGCCCGAGACCTCGGGTAATAGGTGTGTCTGAATTCTGAGTCATAAGATTCTCACAAGATTCCTTTGTAGCCCAAAATCCTACGCGGGCCCCCCGTGACAGGCGAAGTCCGAGTGAACGAAGGGTGCAAGCCGAGACATCTGGAGCCCCAAAGCCGCACTGCGACTCCGAAGAGGAAGAGACGAACTAGCTCAAGAAGCAGTGCCCTAAACCCTACCTTAAGAACCCAAAACCTACTTTTTTGTAGGGTCCCTATAAATCCCATATTAGGGTTTATAGTAAGAACCTACAAAAAAAGTGGGTTTTGGGTTTTTAAGGTAAGCAATGCTCACAGGGCACAGGCTCTCCTCAGTCGCTGACGCCCTGGGCCGCGGCCTACTCGCTCTGCTGGGCCGGGAGCTCGGGGAGTGCTCTGCTGTCTCCTAAACCCCTGAGTTGAGGAACACCATGTAGGGACCTGTTTTGGGGTTTAGGGTTTAGGGTTCAGGGTTTAGGGTTTAGGGTTTGGGGTGGTTCAGGGTTTAGGGGTTTACGGTCTAGGGTTACCTTAGGTCCTAGACTCCTAGACAACCCCAAGATATGAGCATTCATACAAAGAGCCTTGATAGAAGACCCAAGCTTACTCAATCAGGTTCCTAGTTGCCTCAAAGTCATGTCACTGAGCCCCGTATAGCTCAAGGTTTTTCCTTCTTGTAGGTGCGGAGTTCCGGAGCCGGGTAAACCTTTAACTTCAGGTTTCTGCGTTCTGGGAAGCAGGCGCCCATTCCTTAATAATTAGAATAGGGTTTTGGGGACCATTATACCATATTTATTATAAGGAGCGCCCAAGATAATGTTTGTAATTGTTTATTATTAGGTCTCTACATTATATTGGGTCCTTCGATGACGTTAGCTTGGCAGAGATGTGCAGAGTGCGTACGGCCACGTTTGCGGCGTGCAGGTTCTGCTTCCCAGCCGCCCCCCGATTTGCTTTCGGTCGCAAAGGATTGTTAAGAGAAGGACTTTCCCGGCTTTTAAGTTCTTGAACTCGATTCAGGGTTGTTTGGCGATGGGCAATGAAAGCTGCGTGGGCGTGATGTGGAGGGCCTAGATCTGTTCATAAGAATGGTTCTATCACCCTATACTGGATCCGCACCGTACTCCTTATTCTGCATACGACGATTACTGCTCATGAGCGCGATGGTGATCATGATGACAGTGAGGATGACTCCGTAGACTCTTCGCGGCGCAGGGCCGGTCGGGGCTCAGGGAGAGGATCGGGGAAGAGAGCGCTTGAAGAGCGCGAAGAGCCACGCGCTGTCGCCATGGCGAGCAAAGAAGAGGACATCCAGATGATGCCCCTTGGAGTCCAAGCCTTGGAGTTGAAATTAGAAGGGCTTACAGGGCTGAGTTCTTTTGTAGGGATGTAGGGCGTTTGGGGGGTCGGGGGTGGAGCTGAAGGTGGGCTGCTGTTCGGGTGAGCGCAGGTGTTGAAAGACAGTCCTTAGTTGATCGGTGGGGCATTGAGATCATGCAACAAATCCTCAGGGAACCGGCCTCTTCTTGCTTTTGCGCCAGCACTTAAGACGACCAAGCCCCCAAGAACAAGCTTCCGCAGTTTTTTTTGCGTCGGAGCATAAGGCAGGTAGCCAGTTCCCTCCCCGCCGCTACGGCGCTGGCCTACTTGAGTGGGCCTGATTGCAACCCTACATGTTATATGTGTCTTCTTTCAATCATACAGAGATGACGCGAGTATACCCGATTACTGGGTTGTCATGCAGAATCACTGAGGTTCCTGGTTGCGGGTACTATATGTTCAAGACCCCTACACAGGACAAGCCCCGAAGCTTAAGAAGCCCCAACAGATATCAGGTTGGTTTGCAAGACTCACCTCGGCACGCGCAGCTCGGTCGCAGTAGAATGCTTCTTGGGAGATGGGCCTGAAGCTGCAAGCAAGAGTTTAGAAGTTTGGCAGGGCCCGGGCTTCCAGGCATACTCCGGCTAACACTGGCCAATAATCGAAGCTAATTCGCCTGATTTCTCCTATGATTCGTGCTGGTGAGCGTATTCCTGAAACTTGCAGAGCGTCTGACAGCTAGGTAACGTGGACTACCGCATGAAGCGATACATCTTCCGCCGAACTGTGGAGGGGATCCACATCATTCAGCTCGGAAAGACCTGGGAGCCGCACGACTGTGTCAGCTAAGGCCTGAATTCCCCCACTACTTCAAGATCGCACATGCCTTTTTTGGAGAGTCCAGTCCGAGTGGGAGCATGGAGCGGACAAGCCGGATATTATAGGTACTACGTCGCACTACTACTACTACTTCTTCCAGACG